AAAAAAAAAAAAAAAAAAAAAAAAAAGAAAAAAAAAAGCAATTCCTTGCGTTCGCAAGATTACGAAGATCCACGAGAAAATTTCGTAAGATGTTAAAACAGAGATTATCGTTCTTACGTTCTTAGATAAATTAATCCAATTATTTTGAATCTTTTTAAACGATCGATTTCGAAACGACTTATAGAGAATAAAAAGAAAAAAATAATTGCGCGTAATTGCAATCGTGCAATTTATTAATTATATTGATAATGAATCTTTTTGCTGATCCATTATTATAAGAAAAGAATCGATCGAAACTAAAGAAAAGGAAGGAAAGAACGAAAAAACGTTTTCTTACGAAATTAAGATATCGTTATAAGTTTCGTTGTCAACGCAACAAAAACTGATCGAGATAATTCTGAATTCGGACACAATTATATTTTTGTAGTATTAGCAAAAATGTTTTAATCATGGCACGAGTCGTAACACGTTCGAGGAGAAGATTTACGCGATACGTAAAAAAAAAAAAATAAATATGTAAATGAATTATTTTTATTATCAAATAAATCAAAGGAAATAATTGTTTTGCTCCTCTATCTTATCGAGATCTCTCTCCTCAACGAAATGTTTTAACCGGAAAATATAAACAAGCAAATTACAACGCAGTTGATCGTCTACGATCTTCTTATCGCGAGATTCCGAAGATAATGATATCAAAAAAGCATAATAAATAATAAGACTTTTGTTTTTGTACAAGTAATATCAACGAATAACCGAATATCACGATAATCATCGAATATTCAACATAATAATATTTTTCGAATGAATTTTTTTGAAAAAAAATTCGGCGTATATTATTATTATTATTATTATTTATTTATTTATTTTTAACGATTATTTTATTACTCGATCAATTTCTCAACGAAGCATCGAGTGATAGTAAATAAAAAAATTTCCATTCAAAAATATAAATCATCTTTCGATTCCCGCAAACATGTTTTCGTAAGATCGATCATCTGTCCAAGATCATTTTTCAATGTTTTTATATATTCTTTACGTCATTGTGATGACGTTAGAATATTCGAAACGAAAATATACGTGCCTTGATAACCGGCCTGTAATTACACACTGTGAAAAACCGTATAACCACGTCCATTACGGAGAAGTATCACTTTCGCTTTGTACGCAAATTACAGTTATCTTTTAATCGTCCTAATCGCAATAAGGAAATAATGTAATTCGGCAGATCATCGATTTATCGTACGATACGTGCTATGCTCGGAAATATTTCGAAAAGAATTTTATTTTATCTCGTGTGAATGACGTGCAAATGTGTAATGCTATAAACAATTTCTTACACTGTAAAATATAAGTCGGGGATCATTTGCATTCTTGATTTTCAAATACGTGATTCTAAAAGAGCAGAAGATAATGGTGAGCGTTAATAAAAACACGATTGGAATTTGTTTTTTGTTGGTATATATATATATATATAAAAGGCAATAAAAATTTACGATTTCAAATTTCCCTTATTTCATATTTTCGCTTTATATCAAGCGAAAATATTAACTGTCTATATTCTGTGAATTTCTGGTTCCTTATGAAATTTCGAAAACAACTTGGAATAATAATAATAAAAAAAAAGAAAAAGGAAGGGAAAATGGAAGTTTGTCGAAGATGTAATATAAATACAAAATTGTTTCCGTTTCGATATTCGAAACGTTTTCAAATAATTAATTTTTTTTTTCATTTCTAAAGAGACACATGTTCGATGAAAAGACTGAAAATTTAAATTCTTTGCTTTATTCTTCTCGAGAAACGTGTACGGCGCGTGTATCATAATCCGTCCTCATAAAATAGATTCTCAAATATCGCTCGACAATGA